TTATCTGGTTCCTGTGCACAGCACTCGGAGGTCTTTAAGACAATGATAGGTGTACGTGGGCCAGCATAATTTGGGCGATTCTGCCACAGCTAGTACCAGAGCATTATTACAGAGATTATTGCTAGTATTACTTTTTGAAAAACTTCAAAAGAACATAAGAAAATAGTTTCAAGTTATTTTCAGGAAATAATGCTTCTGACTTAACTTATGCTTAGGAGCTATGTAAGAGTGGGATAGCATGCAATATATTGCCCTATGTCTAAAATGAGTGGGATGCGCCGGTTCACACCGCCGTGTCCACCATCACCGATGGCGACGCATCTTTGCTTCGTCTCCACCTCACCCGAGCAGCCGTGCGAGATCGTGGTGAGCTCCTAGTGATATAAGACGCCTTATTCGAACCTCTACCGATCTCTAATGGCCGACGTGTCGAGCGCCGCGCCGCCGTGGCTGCCAAGGCTGGTGTTGAAATCGTCGCGTAACCCTAGTTCCCCAACTAGTGCCCTAGATCGATGCGCGTGGTTGTGGGGAGCATGTAGGTGTCGGTCTTGTCGCCGACGAGGTCACTGCCGGCGAGTACCCGCTGGTCAAGCGTGTTGTACCCATGTCTGCGCGCGGGCGTACTATGCCGCTGACCTGGTCTCGCTTGTCAGTCATAGAGACTGGTTGGGTGCGGGTGAAAAAGGGTTTTTGATCCTTTTTGTTTTTCAGAAACTATTAAAATGAGTTGATTCTTGTTTAATTCATAATTAATTATAGAAGTGTGATAAAATTATGAAATTTTTTGTGTAGCTTTGTTATGAAGTGCTCTAGCTAAGAAAAATATAAGTTGGCTGTATTCCATAGTTTTTCTATGCTCAAAAATTACATATTTTAATAGAAAAATACTATATGTATGATTTTTGTAGACCAAAATAATAATCCTTTAATCATGAAACTTTTTGTAAATGTCATGTGCTAATACCTGTCTCCACAAAAAGTTTGGTTCTGTTTTCATAATTCTAACTTGCATAATTAATATAAGTGTGTTTAAATGCCTTTAATGTATTTAATAAATACTAAAATGATTTAGATAAATGTTTAGATGGTTTTTGTGTGTTTTTATTACTGTTGTGGACCTTGGAACATGAAAAACCCCTGCTGTTCCATTGAAAGTTAATTTCTTTCTTATAGATAATTAATCAACTTGTTAGTAAATAATTAAAATGCTTTTAGTGAATATAAACACTATTTTAATCAACCCTAGTGGTGCAACTGTACCGTGAAGGAAAGTTGTACTCAAGTTTGTTAATCTTGTTTGAGTTCATCCAATGCACCTGTATGCATCTTTCATGCATTATGTTTATTGCATATCATAATGTCAAGCATGCATCCTTTATTACGTGTAGTGACCAAAAGTGAGGAAGTGACCGTTAATCAAGTTCCAGAGAAAGAAAATCCACCAGTGGAGGTTGGTTTTGATATCTGTGGTTCATCAGAAGAACCTAACACCTCTACTAACCAAGGCAAGCCCCGGAGCATATAACCCCTTCCTTGTTGTTTATAAATGTTTTATCATTTGAGTCCACTGAAATGTGCACTAAATAATAGGAAATGGTTGAATACCAATTGTTGCATGCCTGCCTTGATATTCTAAATACTTGTCCTTATCACCCTTTTTATAATGATAGACTAGTAATGCTTAGCCATGCTTAGCTGATAAGAGTCGAGTGATGAGTTCATCATTCGTAATGGTTCTTTACTCAGGAAGTGTCTTGAAAAATTGAGTATGAAAATAGATGGAAATGGAGACCGGACGGGACATGGGATATGTTTTTGGTGGTTAAGCTGACAGGGTTGCTCGGTCATGCTTGTCTCGTCTGTGTCGGTAGAGGACTGTTCGTTGTAGACCTACTGATCAAGATTGAAAGTACTTAACTGCATGCCCTCGGTAAGCCTGAGTACCTCGGCTATTCCATTATGGGAAAGGACAACTGCGCAATGGGAGTGGAGAGATGGCGGGAGTAACATGTACCCACCCTGCGATACCGTTCGGGATGGCGTAGGGTGGTGGAGTACTGTGCTCTCAGGTAGCGTGAACCCGTTCACGTTTTGGAGGATCCGAGAGAATGGTTGATGTATGTAGGTCTGGGACTTGCATATGTCGTGCTGGTTAAGGTTTACTCCAGCTGGATGTACATCGATTCGAATTGCTGTCTCTCTTGGATAGTGAGAAACTTAATCTTCGATCTACATCGTAGTTAATCAATGGAACATGGTACTTATGATTGCAAATAAGAGATGTGATGCTTAATTAAGTGCTTGATTTAGATTAGGTGCAAATTGGGTACTATCAATGAATTAATGTCGAGTTAAAATATTGAAAATAAGGATCCATAAGTAGTAAGCTTTTATGCAAAAGCTATTCTTGATTCTTGCTAAACCCTCTTGTATCCCTTAAGCCGGCATCCCCTTGGAGTCTTTTCTTTTAGTCGGGTAAGTCTTGTTGAGTACCCTGAAGTAGTCAGGGTTTGTTAACCCCTATTGCAGGTGAACCCCAGCAGCCGATAGGCTTTTATCCATGTTATATGTCGGCTCTAGAAGATGATAGCCAACAGTAAATGTGTTGTACTCTCATCCTTGGGCAGGATGATATCTATATGTTGAGTAAGATTATGTTAGTCATGCTATCTTATTTAGTATGAGAAGGTAAAAACTTATGGTTTATAAGACTTGAATAAATGAATTGTAAAATTATGGTTTGTAATACTTCCGCTCCTTAACTCTGATGTAATATTTTTATATCAACTGTTGTAATACTGTAATGTCTTCTGTAATGATCCTGATCGGATGTTAAAAGTGGATGATTCGGGGTTACTCGAGGACACCCGATAGACTATCGGAATTATCTAGTTCCCGTGCACAGCAGTCGGAGGTCTTTAAGACAATGATAGGTGTACGTGGGCCAGCATAATTTAGATGGTTCTGCCACAAATATATACCTATACCAACAACTTGTGGGCTGGGCTACAATGTCGTTTACTAGGCCTTTATGTATTATTTGGTTTCTTCGGTGAACCGAGCCTAGAAACAGAATTAACTGAGCAAATTTCTGTTCTTGAGAAGTGGGAACCAAAGTTTTCGGTTTTGGTTCTTTCAGTTTGGTTCTCGGTTCTCAGTTGTTTTTGTCTTGTAGTTTCCATCCATGTCATGTCAAATAGGCACCACCAATTGGAACTACTCCCTCCATTTCAAATTATAAGACGTTTTAACTTTGTAGATACATAATTTTTTACTATGCACTTAGATATATAATATGTCTAGATACTTAAAACAATATATCTAGAAAAACAAATATATTGTATAATTTGGGATGAACTATAGCATTCTAATTTCCAACCCATGATTTCTTGGTGTGGGTCCACTTGAATTATTGCCGATACTTTTTGTTCCTGTCCGACTCCGTACTTCAGCATCCCGCATCCCTCTCTCTTCCCTCAACATCTCATCTCTCTCTTCCCTCCACATCACATCTCTCTCTTTCCTTCAGCATCCAGCAAACACGGCGAGGCAAGTGGCGCGTGGACGTGGTGGGCAGTGAGGCGAGGCTCGGCGGCGGGTGCAAAGGCGCGCTCTGGCGGCACTCGAGAGGAGCCGGGCATCGGGCGGTTGTCTCACAATGGCGAGGCCAGGCGGCACGCTCGAGGGCGCATGCTCGCTGTGGTGAGTACGGGCCGGGACACGGTGGGACAGTGATCTCCGGGATGAGGTGAGGCGGCCGTTCGGCACGCGCAAGGGCGCATCCTTGCGGCCATGCCGAGACACGACGGGACCCACATGTGGCTGCATGTCCGGTGCGGACTCGTGGAGCCACTGTTGTGCGGGCGACTTAGGTCACGAGCACGAGCGGCCGTGACGGGCGGCGGCGGGTTTACATATTTGATTTTATGAAAAAGTCCATTTCCAGCCCTCGAACTTCTGTTGAAGTATGAATTTAGCCCTCGAACTCAGAAACCAGATATGTGTGGCCCTCTAACTATCAAAACCGAACACCTTTAGCCCTCGACTAGTTTAAAAGATGGTTTCGAGTACATATATTTTTTCTAAAAATAACAAAACAATAGGTAAATCTCTAAAATTCATAAATAATTATTTTTAAATAAAAAAATATAAACTTGGGACCAGAATTTCTCTAAGAAATATAATCTATCTCGTTGATATCTATAACTTTTGTTTTGGTAATTTCTACTTGTACCATAGGTTGTACTATTCACATGTACATGTACATGTATATATATATATATATATATATATATATATATATATATATATATATATATATATATATATATATATATATATATGTGAAAGACACCCCTCAACAATGGGTGTGTGTGTAGTGATTCTTCCAATCTTAACCTACTCTAAACTTCATGCATGAACTCGACTTAGAAGTTCATGCATGATATGACCTGTGGTGCTTTTGATCGTTAGTGTTTTTCTTTCACACTTGTTTCTTTTGCACTTAGGGCGTGTTTGTTTGCTGCCGTTGCCTGGCATCTCCGTCGAGGCAGCAAGATCCGACCCCAGAGGATGGAAATCGAACCCCTGGGAATGCTGCGTGGCCCAGGCGAGATTCCCAGATTCAGAAGCAAATACGCCCTTAGTTTGGTAGTTTCATTCGTAAGTTAATAGGACTACGGTAACTTTGTGGCCTTGGTGATTGCTAATTCATAGACTGGTGGTTCAACTTGGGACATAAGCCTTAATTCTTCCATGCGATGAATTTTGGCTTCCATTTTTACCACTTTGACTGGACTAGTTCTTTGTTAGTTAATTGCCTGCACAAATATGATGAACAATTTGATGCATGGTGTAAGGATGCAATGCATGCTTTCTTTATTTAGTATGCGTACTAAACAACAAGTCCAAAACCCACAAGTGTGATGCAATTGTGATAGGTAGTGCACAGTCGAGTCCTAGATCTATTGTGTACATAAAGGACTCTATAGACAAATGTGTTAATCTTGTGGAACTATAGGGACAAGGAGGAGTTTCTTTGTACGATGCACTATCACCCCAAACGATTCGGTCATATCGATGCCTTTCTTCGCTAATTCCATAGGGAGCTCCCAATTGAAGTGGTAGACAAGGTTTGCGAGCATGACTTCGATATTGGCAATTGCAAAGTTTGCACCCGGGCACATCCTTCGCCCTGCCCCAAATGGCAAGTATTGGAAATCATTTCCCTTATTCTCTATAGCTGTGGCACTACCTCCTTCCATGAACCGCTCAGGCTTGAACTCCTCTGCTTTCTCCCAATAGCTAGGATCCCTTGCAAGAGCCCAACTATTGACAATGGCACGTGTTCCTGATGGTATCGTGTATCCTTCTATGTTGCCATCGGCCATGGAGAAGTGGGGCACAAGGAGCGGTGCCGGCATATGGAGTCGAAGTGTCTCTTTGATAACTGCCTTTAGGTATGCTAAGCTATCCAGCTCGTCTTCTGTAACCATCTCTTTTCCCTTGGCTATAGCGTTTCTCACCTCGGCTTGTAGCTTGTTCATGAGGCAGGGGTTTCGCATGAGCTGAGCCATTGCATATTCCAACACTGTGAATGATGTATCTGTGCCAGCTTCGAACATGTCCTATATACATACGGATACATGTATATAAGTATCAAAAACATATATATACTTGAGCTATATATATATATATATATATATATATAAATGTATGCACGATAGTGGTAGTTGTGAGTGAGGTCACGGAGTTTGTACTCTCCATAATAATAATTCCATATATACAGTACCTCCAACAGCGCTTTAGTATGGTCTCTCGTGAGTTTGCACTCTTGTTGAAGAGAGAGTAAGACATCAATGAAGTAAGTCTCGTCCCCATCACATTTCGACGCTGGCATGCTTGCATAGTCATCAATGAGTGTATTGAGCAAGTCGTCCCACATCTTCTTCACCTTGTGGGCCTTTGCACACACCATCCTCTTGATGATGTCCAGCTTCACCAGCACCGGGAAGTAGTCCTCTAGGTTGAAACCCCCTAGGAGGGACGAGTTCACCTCGACGAGCTCTTGGAAGAGTTTATTCCAGCCTTTCTCCCTGAAGAAATTGCCAAACACGGCGTGACACAAGACATCGTTGACAAAGGAGACGAGGAGTTCGCTTAGGTCGACGGCGGTGCCTGCGGTTGCCGCCTCGCGGATCTTGGCCACGACCAACCTCACCTGTTGTGAATTGTTTTCAGTCAATCGTCCATGGAACAATATAATCACTGATGGTTCAAAGTTGACGCATGGTCAGGTTAATACCTCATGCTCGCGTGCATGACTGTAGGACCGGACCTTCTTGGTGGCGAGGAGGTGCGCGGAGACGATCTTCTTGACCTGGCGCCATTGCTCGCTGTAGGGTGAGAAGACGATGTCCGTGGAGCCGTAGAAGAGGATGTCGGTGACGGGGGAGGTAGCTCGGGATGCGAAGATGTGGTCCTGCGTGCGTAGCACGGCCTGCGCGGCGCTCGGCGAGGAGACGATGAGCGTGGGGACGGCGCCAAGGTGGAGGAGCATGAGGCCGTTGCGGCCATGCTTGGATGAGAGGTCACGGAGGGAGACGTGTGGGAGGCGGCCGACGAGGTGCAGGTGGCCGATGACGGGGAGCCTGCGGGGAGGCGAAGGCAGCTTGCTCAGCAGCTCTTCTCTGGCTCTTGCGGTGGCCGTCGACGGCGTGGTTCCAATGCAGCGGCGCACCAGGAGGTGGACGAGGAGAGGACACACGAGAAGGACAGAGACCACTAGGGCCACTTGTGGAGGAGACTTGGCCCGCTGCTGCAGCAGCTCATGGTGGCCATGCGCGTGAGCCATCACAGTCCACAGCAGCGTAGTCCCCTGGCTGGATAGCTTGCTTTATCAAACTGTTGTTCAGTTTACTGAACCGAATGATGATATAGCTGGGCTTCTTTGCCCAGGTGGCTGTTTATATAGCCAAGAAACCTGGTGATCGCACCAAAAATTAGGCATCTTTTTTGTCCATAGTTTATATTTGTTTATATAATATAAACTTTAAGACCTGTCCGGTCTTCAACATCACACTTCAACTAATTTTGCTTATAATATGTAATTTCTAGTAACAAAAGTTTAATTAGAATTTATTTTAAAATATAAATACAATGTAACCATGCAAGCTTAAAGTTTATATCCTGTCAAAATTAATGAGACAACGTGTACATATTTTCATTTACCATGCATGCTTAACGAGGAATCTAGATCACTTAGGTCATTGCCACTAAGCTCGTCAACGGTGATGCCAAAACCGGTCGCTACCTCAGATTCATGGATCACTAATAATGGGGCTTACCTGTCACTGTCGTGTCTTGCCCCCACCTAGCAGTGATTTGACGAGGGTATTTGCTAGGTGAAGCCAGTATATAAGATAGTGAATATATTGTACTCACTGCCAGTTTAGTGGCTTCAATCTGGCCATCATCATCCCATTGTTTGTTGATATATTTTATTATTACATTTAAATAGAGTTTAGTGTCTAATATTTTTACATTTGATATTATTAATGTATCACATTGATATATATCACTGCCATCAAGATTATACTATGATTACGTAGCGTGATCCAATTAGACCATCACATTTACTAGAGAATCAACCAAACTATCACAAAATCAAATGGGTTGCTAGGTAATAACAACCTCAAAGTACCAGTATCACATGGGTTCATAAAAAGTAGTAGACCTTATGAACAATTCTATTCTATGCTACACTAACTAAAATCGAGAAACTAAAGGAACCAACTAAGCCATCATATTTATTACTAGAGAATCGAAAGAAATCTAACAAAACAAACTAGCTACAAATTCAATAGGTCAATAGCTACTAACTTTAAATAATCGGTAGGGATGAAAGTGAGAATGGAAGATTCCATTTACCGGCGCTCGTTTCCGTAATAATAATATCGTTTATGGCCGTTTTCGACCATTACCGTATTTCAAGTTTTGATTTTTAATTTCTTTTAGTACCATATTTATGTCGTTAGTAAATAGTTCAAATGAAAATATGGTTAGTTTTCAGTACCGTATTTATGTCGGTAGTAAATCGGTTCCGCATAGGAAATATCGTAAATTATTTCAGTTGGTGATCAAACTATATACTTTTTCAAAGTTTTCTTTTCAATTTTTGGTTTTATTAATTATGTTTTAAATAGGCAAACGTTACTATCAAGTTTAACGTTACTACTAGTACTAGCTATCATATCGACCCATCGTTTCCGACCAGAGTCCGACCAGAGTCCGACCGGACCTCTTGTACCCCTGATCTTTCTCCTTCTCGTTTGTAATCCCACTGCAAACTTCGAGCACCTGGGCTCAGGAATAAAGTCACCGACCGACTCAAACTGGACGTAGGGCACGTTGTCTGAACCAGTATAAACCCTGTGTCATTGAGTGCTAGGCCACCTCCGATCACAACGTACGGCAAAACTACAAATATTTACTTGTTGGTCACTTTCTGCACCGACAGTTGGCGCCGTCCGTGGGGAAGACGTTGTACGTTCAACACTTTTTGGTCATCGGATGGCCCACTTTTCCACCACCTTCGTCATGGTGGGCTCAGGCGATACGACTCACTTCGACCCCCAGGAGCGTGCGGTCTACCAGAACCTCTGGGCATTGGTAGAAGCCGCCGCCGTCCAACAGGAAGAAAGGTCCACATCGCGACTCCAACACGCGCCCTCTCTCCCCACTAGGGGAGTGGGGACGCACCAGACGGATCGCTCCATCCGCTCGCCGCTACAGCCGCCAAGGGCGGCTCGGGAGGTAGCGGCTGCGCCGCGGTCCGACCTGGCGCCTACTCTACACCGACCGCCGGTGTGCGAACGGCCCGGTCCGCACCGAGATGCTCACAGCGTCATCAGCAACTGGCATTAGGCCCGGCATGATGATGACGTCCACCGGGCGGCGATCAGGGCAGGCGATACGGATCCCGGCCGAACCATCGAGGGGAGCGGTGAAATGTGGCCCAGGCATGGTCGCCGGCCAGACGACCAGAGTCCTAGCCCTATGGGCCCGGGACCACGGGCCTTTGGCCGACGTATCCGGAGAGCGCCATTCCCACAACGCTTCCGACCACCCACCAACATCGCCAAGTACATCGGGGAGATGAACCCCAGTATTTGGCTCGAAGATTTTTGGCTCGCCTACCGAGCCGGAGGGGTGGATGATGACCTGTTCATCATTCAATATCTCCCCATCTGCATGGAGGAACATGTTTGGACATGGCTCGAATTCTTCCCACATGATAGCATCCGCGACTGGGCGGACCTCAAGAGGGTCTTCGTCGGAAATTTCTAGGGGATGTACGTCCGCCCTGGTAACTCCTGGGACATCAAGAGCTGCCAGCAGGAGCCCAGGGAGTCCCTGCGGGATTACATCCGCAGGTTGTCCCAACGATGCAACTCCCTCTTTGATGTCGTCGATGCGGACGTCATCAGCGCATTCCTCTCTGGGATGACCTGCAAGTCCCTGATCCACAAGCTTGGCTGCCTGAAGCCCCGTACCACCCGCGACCTGCTCGACGTCGCCACTAACCACGCCTCCAGCGAGGAGGCAGTCCGAGCTGTCTTCAACGGAGGCCGGGACAAAGGCAAGGCCAAGCGCACGGACCAAGACGAGGGCCCCTCCATGCAGAGGGGCAAGAAGAACAAAAAGGACCAGCGCCGACCGGACAACACCGCATTGGTCGCCGCAACCGACCGCATGGGCAAGCAGCCCTAATAGGGCCTGTCTGGCCACTTCAACAAACTCATGGATATCCCATGCACCAACCACGCCTGCCCCGTCAAACACCTCTACAAGGACTGCGAGCTCCTCAAATGTTTCCTCCGATATGCCAGCGGGCCAAAAGAAGGAGACGGCAAAGAGGCAGCAACCAAGAAAGGAGGCACGATGGGCAAGGATGGAGATAGCTTCCCCAACACTGAGGAATATATCATGATCTTCGGCGGTTCCGACGCCATCTGGACCAAACTCCAGCACAAGGTGCGCTATAGGGAGGCATGCGCCGCCGAGATGACCGTCCCCTTCTTCCTCAGCTGGTCAAAATCTCCGATCACCTTTGATCAGAGGGACCATCCCTCCCACGTCATGAGACCAGGATGCTACCCGCTCGTCGTCGATCCCATCATCCGCAAGAAGCGCCTCACCAAGGTGCGGATGGACAGAGGTAGCGGCCTCAACATCCTCTATGTCGACACCATGCGCATCCCTTGGTCAGAACTCTACCTAGCGGGTTCTCCCTTCCACGGGGTAATCCTGGGAGCGTAGGCATACCCACTCGGGCAGATCGATCTGCCCATCATGTTTGGCAACCGAGAGAACTTCCGCTCGGAGGTCCTCACCTTCGAAGTGGTGGACTTTCTAGGGTCCTACCACGCTATCTCGGGGCGGCCATGCTATGCCAAATTCATTGCGATCCCCAACTACACATACCTGAAGCTAAAGATGCCAGGACCAAACGGCATCATCACCATGAGCAGCGCCTTCTCGCACGCCTTCATGTGTGACCGCGAGCATTTTGAGCTCGCCACCACGGTCATCAACTCGTCCGAGCTCCCGCGGCTTGGGGAGTCGTTGACACCGATAGTCCCAGACTGCAACAAACCAACCTCCTCGATGGCCTTCCGCCCTCTCGAGGAAACCAAGGCTATTGGAATCGACCCCACCGACCCAACCAAGGCGGTGCGGATCGGGACCCAGCTCCCGGCCAAATAGGAATGCGAGCTCATCGACTTCCTACGCGTCAATCGCTATGTCTTCGCATGGCAGCCTTCTGACATGCCGAGCATACCACGGGAGGTCGCCGAGCACGCACTGCACCTCATCCCAGGGTCGAAGCCCGCCAAGCAGCACCTGCATCGCTTCGACGACGAGAGGCGCAGGGCCATAGGCGAAGAGATCGCCAAACTCCTGGCAGCCAGATTCATCAGAGAGGTATTCCACTCCGACTGGCTCGCCAATCCTGTTTTTGTTAAAAAGAAGACCGGAAATAGAGAATGTGCGTTGATTATACTGGCCTCAACAAAGCGTGTCCAAAGGATCACTTTCCTTTGCCACGCATAGACCAGATAGTCAACTCCACCTCGGGTTGCCAGATCCTCTCCTTTCTGGATGCCTACTCGGGCTATCACCCGATCGCGATGAAAGAGTCCGATCAGCTCACAACCTCGTTCATTACCCCGTATGGTTCATACTGCTACATAACCATGCCCTTCGGCCTGAAGAATACTGGCGCCACCTACCAAAGGTGCATGCAGCAATGCTTCGCCGTCCAAATCGAGCCGCTCGATCAGTCGGATCAAGCCGAGCGGCCGAAACTAACAATCGCCGTCTATGTTGATGACATAGTAGTCAAAACGGCTCAAGCTTGCGACCTGATCGCAAACTTGGCCGCAACATTCGTGAACCTCTGAAGATTCAACATCAAGCTGAATCCCAAAAAATATGTTTTTGAGGTTCCAAAGGGGAAGTTGCTAGGATACATTGTGTCCGAGCGTGGCATCGAGGCTAACCCTAAAAAAAATCGTGGCCATCTCCAACATGGGCCCCATACACAACATCAAGGGCGCGCAGAGGCTCACCGGCTGTCTTGCTGCCCTGAGCCAATTCATATCCTGGATCGGCGAACGTGGGATGCCACTCTACAAGCTCCTCAAAAAGACGGACACATTCGTCTGGACTAAGGAAGCTCAGTAGGCTCTAGAGAGCCTCAAAGCGTCCCTAATGTCGGCCCTGATCCCCATCGCACCCGAACAAGGAGAACCCCTTCTCCTCTACGTCGCGGCCAGTCACCATGTGGCA